ATGGCGGTAACGTCTCCCACGCCTGTTAACATCCTCTCGTTTACATTTAGCAATAGCATATCGGAAGGTACCAACAGAGACTTCCGCAAAGACACGAAACACATGCAAAGCAAAAATGAGGAGGTCTAATCCCCATAAAAACAATTCAAGCCACGTCATTGCACAGGCACAGGACTACTGACACMRCAAATGAAATCGTTACGTACARGTGAGATACACACACATATACAAGCATAAGGGGAGATRARGACAGAGAGGGAAAGGGGAGGGGGAGAGGAAAGAAGGGRAAGAACAGAAGGAAAGGGAGAAGGGAGGGGATACCAGAARACGGGAGGGAGAAATGAATGGGATACCASGWGACGGRAGGCGACAAGAGAGTATCACGCGGGCAAAGGGAAGGAAAGGAGACCCATGGAACAATACGATGGCGCAAGGTAAGAGATAGGGAATCAAAGACCCAGAGCGCAATGATCTTCTTGAAGCCCAAGCGATTGAGTAAAAATTTACATGAAGCGCACAAGTGCTACCATCCTCCCGGTGCAGGATCCGTTAGGTGCGGATGCACCAACATTATCCAACACAAGCGAGGAGAAGCAAATATCGGTTACGCCCGAAATGTTTCGACTGGTGCCGAATGCCAGTCATCACCAGGGGCAGTCGCATGGCATCAAGATGAAGATCACCGTGGCTCCAGTCCTTTAAATAGTTGAAATTCGTCCATTTCAGCAGAGGCCTACATTCCAGAACAGAAAGCCTAATTTCGGAGGACATCCTCAATCCTCCTGAAGCCATCGGGTGACGAGAAGAGAGGATGAGAGAGAGAGAGAGAGAGAGAGAGAGAGAGAGAGAGAGAGAGAGAGAGAGAGAGAGAGAGAGAGAGAGAGAGAGAGAGAGAGAGACGAAACACATATAAGCCGGTAGTTAGGTGAAGGTAAAGATAGACCCACAGGAGAGGAACTCGTTGCGGCGAGGTAGGGGTAAAGGATTCAATGATGGAGGGAAGAGGAAAGGAAGAGAGTAAGAGAGAGAGAGAGAGAGAGAGAGAGAGAGAGAGAGAGAGAGAGAGAGAGAGAGAGAGAGAGAGGCTGGGAACAGGGAGCCAAATAGGTTGTAGAAGTGTCGGAAAGATGATGTATCTGGCATTGTAAGATCGCTCCAGAAATCCAGTACCACAGCGCCCGCTTGCAGTCGGTGAGTCGCATCAGTAGAAGACGAAAAGACAAAGRRGARAGAGAGAGAGAGAGAGAGAGAGAGAGAGAGAGAGAGAGAGAGGAAAAGGCACCGAGACATGATGGTGGAGCGAACGAGTTCTGAGCACTTGGAAGGTAGCACGACCGACGACAATGGAAAAGACGCGCCATTGACATTCCGCCGAGGGTGAGGAAGTAAATGCCGTGACGCCTATAGATATACAGGCAGGTCCGAGTGAGGTGTTATTTTCTTCAAGCGTAGTGCCTTTCGCATAACCCATCCAATGGTCGAGAAATCGCCGCCGGGGTCGAAACCAGGTCGTGAAATCTTCCCATGCTGCTTTCAAGGCCCTGAGAGTCGGTTTACCGTCGAAAAAGGCCCAGTTGCTTTTTCGTAAATATCCAGCACAGGGCCTAGAGATGCACTTGCCAGGATCTTAGGAAGAAACCGCACATAACGGAAAGGGTCCTGAAAAACTAGGACCCTATATGTCCTACTCAAGAGCTAAGAAACCATACTCAGAGTCCTGCGTGTGAAAACAGTTCCCTTGGCTGTTAAGCCAGAGCAGCGGAAAAACACTCAATCGGGAAAACATTCATTTACATTACTTGGATGGATCAATCCCAAGGGAAGTCCTGTGTGTAGCAAGTAGGCCGGTACCGCACCCAGTAGCAGGAGATGTGTCGGGTACTCAAGGTCGAGCAGAAGAAGACAAAGTTGGCATTTTTAAAGGCCCAGTAGCGGTAGGCTAGGTCTAGGCCGGTACCAGTCCATCCAGTCTGAGTCTAGAGCCTGTACGGGCAATATCAAAGTCTGCACTGATGTTTCCCTCCAAAAGGGAGGAGGTACCGGTTGCTTGGGAGGCCGAGCGGACTGGAAGTCACCGCCCAGGAGGCAAGTATGCCGCTATATCAAGAAGCCGAGGGAAGAGCCCGGTGTCGAGACTGGTGGGTCCCGAATAACTTCCCATCACTCAAGAGACTGAATATAGATGAGTTGTGCGCGACAGAGAAATTTGGAGTGAGGAGGCAGGAAAGAGGAAAGACAAAGGATTAGGCCACAGGAGGGAGTGATGCCCTGGGGTGAGGACCACATGCGGAGAAAACCAGCAACGACAAGCGAATAAGTGCAAAAATAGGGGCACATAGAACATAGCATGAGGTCGGGAGGGTCGTTGGAACTCAACAAGACTAAGGCCAAAGGACCCTTGAACCAGCAAACACGGCACGACAGCGACAAGAGGATGAGGAAGTCGAGAGACGAACGGCTCCAGAGGCCGTAGGGGGCCTAGAGAATAAGGGCCAACATACGGGCCACCTACGGGAGCCTCGGGTTGGAGGCCCGCGACCAAAGGAACAGGCGCGCGCAAGGTGCAAGAAAGACAAGGGTGAGGGGTCGTCGTGGGGCGGCAAAGCACCCAAGGAACGCGGGACACCTCGGGGAAAGGCACCCGGGGCCACGTGGGACTAAGTAAAAATAATGGCATCCGAGGCAAATTGTGTCGGGGACCGCCGGTGGGACTAAGTGTCGAGGACCGCTGGTGGGACTAAGTGTCGGTGACCGCCGGTGGGACTAAGTGTCGGGGACTGCCGACGGGACGGATGGCGGGGACATGTGAAAGTCCCAAGAAGAAACGGCGGCACCGCATGAGGGAAAATAATAAAGGCAAGGTGCACCGTCAAGATCGACATCTTGACGACCAAGAATATAAGCACCACTAGTGCAAGCACTAGCGGTAGCAAACGGGAGGGGCAAAAGGAAAAGAAAAAGTAAAGAAACTTGAAGTGGGAAGCATGGGAGCAATCTGAAAAATCTCGGATCAGGACTCAAGAGAGACCCCGTGTGAAAAATAGGCCTCCGGGAGAAAATTGGAGTAGGAGGGGCCACTGTGGGAGAGAAATGGGAATACAAGAAAGCTCCCATGGGCATGAGAAGGTCATTATTGCAGACCGAGATATGACGGACTGCACCTTGGGCATAGGAAGGGCCAAAACTAAGAGGAAGGGGCTAGAAAAGGGCCTTAACGGCCACTTGACACTTGGCATGCTAGAAAAAAGAGATAAAAGAAAAGAAAATGTGGGAGAATAAGACAAAAAAAGTGAGAGGGCGTGAGTGAGTTGGCCGTCAGTAGGGGCTGCCACAAGTAGGGATTGGCAGGTCCCTACTATCCAAGAAACGAGGAAAAAGAAAAGAAAAGAAAAGAGAAAAGAAAAGAAAAGAGAAAAAAACCTTAACGGTAAAAAACGGTCACTTGGGGAGATACATCCGTGACCAGATTCATTCTGGAATATGGCGGTTGCAATAAACTTTGATTTTCTTTGATTTTTGCAGAAAAAATCAAAGAAAATAAAAGCCTCATGCAACCGAAAAATAACGGATTACCTAGGGGAAGAGAAACACGTGTTTTAACGCTTCATTTTCTTTTAGCATAGGGCAAGTTGCGGGGCTGCGGGACTAGGAAAATAGCCATGACTTCAGTCTGAGAAATAACAGACTGCATGGGGATGCCTAGGCTAAGGGAAAATGAGCCACGGCAAGCCCGAAAGGCTAGAAAGGAGCAATTTCGACATGGGAGTCGGTAAACGGCAACCGTGAGATGAGATCTCACGGCCTAGAAAAAACGACACACATGTAGAAATGATGGGGCCACCAAGGGCAAGGTGACCACAAAAATAAAAAAAATGGGACACCGTCTGGAATGTTGTCGGGGACCAAGTGGGTCCAAATAATAAAAGTCGAAAAACGGGAAAAACGGAACTAGTACGGAGGAAAAGTGGCGGGGACTTGAGATGTCCCAAGGGAACCATGAGCAAGCACAAGGAATAATTGTGCAAGCAAACG